CGGTGGGAATCGGTCTTCCTCCAACCTGGGGGATTGTGTGTTATGTTATGTTTCTGGTCCTGTTTGGACATTTAGCGGTGTGCGAAGGCGTCCTCCTACCACACCCTCTCCTTCTTTCTTCTCCACGTCTTCCTCGGCGTTTGACATAATGGGTATGCCCTAAGCCAATCATTGCCCACCAGACGCCCAAAACCTAGGACCCAGACGACCGACACATGTGATATCATCGAAGAACTCAGGAAGGGAGAGGAGGAGTCTTCCTCTCCTCCCCATCCTCCGTTTCCTCTGATTTCTCGTCCCTCCCCTTCTTTCCCCTCCCCCTCCTCCTAATCGTCCTTCTCGTCGTCGTTCTCCTCCTCATCCTTCTCCTCAGTCCTACCTCCCTCCCTCCTCTCTGCTCCTCTTCCTCGTCCTCCTCCTCCTCCTCCTCCTTACCGTCTTTCTCGTCGTTGTTCTCTTCCTCCTGCAGGTTGGGAGGCCACTGCGTGGGATAGCTCGTGGTTCGCAACTCTCCTCCCCCCCTGTATGGGATAGCTCGTGGCCCAGAAGGGGCCAGAGGCCTTCTGAGCCTTCTGGCCAAGCCCGCCCATCTGCCTTCCCCCCCGGGCGCGCCCCTGATCGACGGCGAAGACGGACGAGGACAAGCCCCTCCGAGACTATCTGAATTTTTGAGCAATTATTTGGCTGGCATGCGGCAGCCGTCCATCGCTTTGGGTACACATCGAACCTCAAACATCGAGGGCCCTGGTATCTGCTTGTGACGCTTGCGCGCGCAATGATCTGCATCGGTCATGTTGGTTTCAGTGTCTGCCTCGTTGCATATCTACGACGCACCACGGCCAGAATTCCTGGCGGCGTCGACATCACCGCCCCACGAACAACATGACGTAGCCCGATATTTTGCTGCAGGCTTCAGATTATCGGCGGCTCACGTACAGACGTGCCACACGTTCCTGTCTACGCTGGGGTTCATTTATGCATGCGCCGTGCTCACGTTGCGCTCTTTGTGTTTTGCTGGTTCCAGGGCCGATGCCCTGCTGCGTCGCCCCGTCAGGGCTGCACCTTCGGATCCGATGGCAGCCCGTCCGACTGCGCGCCCAGAAGGAATTTCATCATGTAGTGGTTCGGCCTTCAATTTATCATATGGCCAGCTTACGCATGTGAACAGTTCAACGCCACATCCACCAGTTTCACTCCGTCGGTCCACATGGCCCGCTTGAACCCCACATCTGCTTTATAAGAAGCGCCGCGTAGAGGTAGACACGAACAAACAAAAACAAGAAGGACGAGTACAAACGGGTGATGAGATTTCCGGAGTTTTCGGGGGGGGGGGGGGGGAGCGCTGAGAAGAAAAGTGAACGAGGTTGGGAAGAGGAGGAGGAGGAGGAGGAGGAAGAGGAGGAGGATGAGGAGGAGGAGGAGCAGCAGGACGATGACGAGATATGCGCACGACGCACGCGACATCGCAGAGAGTTGAACCATACCGATTTAACGAAGCACTCGCACAGCTGCTTGGGCGAGAGGGACGGGGGCAGAGAGCGCTGACACAGCGGCTGCCTCTCTGCGCGAGGTTGGGCTGGCTTCCGCGTCCTCAACGACATCGACGACAAAAAGTTTGAGGTCAGCGTGATCTCCCCCAGGAAGCCTCCACTTGAAATTGCGCCGTTGCTCGGACCTCCCCCCGCCATCGACTTCCTCCTTCGCTCCCTGCCTGCGTACCTCCCCATCCTCGCCCTTTTGATGTCAACAGATCACCCAGGCACCCAGGCGGATTGCCTTTGAGGGTCTCTCCGCCTGTGTCTCCACGGAAGTGGGGGGCCAGAGGGGGCATGGAGGAGGAGGAGGGGGAGGAGGATAGGAGGTGGAGAGGAGGAGGAGGAGGAATCATAATAATGAGAAGAAGAATCGGAAGAAGGGAGGAGGATGAGGAGGAGGGGGAACAGGAGGAGGAAGAGGAGGAGGAAGAGGAGAAACTTGTTTGCCATCTGTTGCTACTCCCATCGGGCCAAGATGTACCCAAAGCGACGCACTCGCACCGCGAACTTGGCTCGAGCCCCTGCAGAGCCCCTCCCGAGACCGCGCGCAAAAGACCCGGCGAAGACACCTGCTGTTCGCCATCGCTTCTCCTCCAGAGTGGTGGGCCGCCGCCTCGCCAGCTGTGGTGACAGAGCGCACAAGGATAATGTCGAGAGCATACTCGAACCAGTAAAGCGAGACGTAGCTACAGCGAAATCCGATATCACAACGCTCAAGCATGAGTATAACGAATTGCAGAACAGGGTCGTGGCTTTGGAGAGTGGTCCATCAGGGGGGATTCGTTCCGATTTCAAGCCTACGTATGTCGACATCTCGGGCTTGTGCACGTTCGATGAGCGGCACGAGAAGGGGGGGGGAGAACGGAGGCGGTGCAGGTGGTCGAAAAGTTGAAGACCCTTCTTGACCCCAGTCTCAAGGAGCACGTCAGGGATATCGAACTCAGGGCAGGCAAAACCCATTCCATCCGCGTGCCCATCACGATTCAGTTGTTGGAAGAGATAAAAAAAGGTGGAGCGACCACCTCCAGGACCCCGGAAACAAGTACCAAGGGACCATCCAACTCCGCGTACGTGCACAACCCCATCTCCCGACTTCGAAGATGTGGCAAACGTTCGGGAAGGTTTCCGATTGGACCGCGACTTCAAACAAGAGTCTTCACGCAGTTGTGTATTGGAGATGGGAGCACAACTACACCGTCACCGTCGTTACGTCGCAGGAGGAGGGAACCCACGGAGTTAGGCCATCGACAGCGTTGCGCAAGGTAGTCGACGGCGGGAACATCGAGCGGGAGCCGGCGGGGCTTCTTGCGGCTGACCTTGGGGGCGCAGAGGAGGCAACATCCAAGGTGACATTTTTCCGGCGCCCGCGCCGGCCGTTGGGGGGCCCACTGCGTAATTCGATCCCGGTCGAAGGGTCGGTTTCGGTTGCAATTTACAACGTGCGGAAACGGAAACGTTGCGAAGCAATCCAGATCGCACGTAGTCTGAAGCGGTTGGGCATGGGTTCGGCCGCTGTTTGCCTGCAGGAAGTACCCCGCTGGAACTTTGGGACGGTGCTCGCAGGAACGGGGTTTATCGTACACTCCAGCCTCACTCAGGATGACGAGGCTGCCAAGCGGGACGGATTCGATTGCGACTTCTTGGTTCCCAGTGGCCTGAATCTGAAAAACAAGGGTGAGCAGCACAGTCGATATTGGAGCGGTCTGGTCGTGAACGTAGGGGGACGGGCAGTACATTTGAGCATTCATTTCATCCACAACGTTCGGGAAGACAGTGGCAATTTCGGTGACACTGTAATCGTTATGCCAGGGAAAGGACAATCAAGTTTTTCGAACAGTGCAAATCAAAATACGGTTCTCGCTTGCAGGTGGTGGCAGGCTTCGACGCGAACGTGACCTTGCCGGGCAACGTGCCGCAGGTGACCGAGCCGGTGTACGAGGCCCTCTCCGGTCTCATAGCCCATCGATGCAGCACTCCATTATCTTGGATGGACGCGCTGGGGGTCGGGGCGCGGAACACCTACAACGTAGAGGCCTTGCAGTCCGAACTCTGGACGTGCGGGTTACGCTGGAAAGAGAAGGCCAGATCTCAGATTGATTTCGTGGCGGTGTCCGATGAGCTGGACGGGGTGGGGAAGACTTTGCATATTTTCGACATGATCCCGAGTCTGCTTTATGGGAGAAGATGGACCATCGGCCAGTGTCGGCAGCGATCCGTTGGGAGACGCGAGCGCCCACGACTACGTGCAGCTCGCGCCCGACGGTAACGCCCCGGAGGCAAATGAAGAGTGGATTATCTCATCCTCAGGTTCACGAGTCTTTCTTGGCAGCTGTGGTCCGCCCAGATACCTTTCGCGCAGATTTTCTGCACTTTGAAGACGTGTTGCATGGGACCGTTTGTCTGCATCATGAGTGGGATCGGGAGATGAGTACCAATGAGAGGAGTACGCAACGATAAGTGTTACGACAGCTTCGTTGGACGTTGAGGGCGGAGAGCGACATCGCCAGCAGAAGAACAATCACGGCGGCAATGTGGAAAATGATTCGGGTTATGAGGGCTCGAAAGCTACAGCGCAACTTTGCCAGCATCCGCAAAGGTTGCAAGGACAAGCGTTCCACTCCAGCTTCTTTCACCATTGATGGGGTTATCGCATGCGACAGGGAAGAGCGGTTTCAAGCTGCTTCCAGGTTTGGTCAGGAACGTCTCGATGACGACGCTAATATACCTGATCGTCAGTTACATCGTTGGCACAATTTTCAAGCTCGAGTGCAACGGGATCACGATTATTTTGGGGTCGAGTTTTGAGATGCGCTTCAAGCCCAAGCTTCGATGAAACCTGGCGGAGCCAGCGGGGGCGACGGAAACCCAACCGACATCTTCAAGGCTTTGCCGTTCCCTGCAACAGCGCACCTGCATCCTTTCTTCTTGCGAGCGGAACGGAATCCAGAACCAGAGCCCCAGTCGCCGCATTCGAAGATCTTGGACTTAGCAGGTTTGCCGAAATCGCACCGCGTCCACGATTTTGGCGAGATGAGGTTGATACGCAAGTCGCAGGTGCTGCAAAAGTGGTTTGCGCGGGCTTCGAGGCCTCGCACTCGCGACAGTTTACGGCCGACCAGGGTGCGCGCGTCTGGCTTCAAGAAGCAAGTTCCCATTGCCGAATTCAACAGTGTCGTTCGAGAAGCGCCGTGCGCCGCTGAAGTTTGGAATTTGCCAGTTTGCGCACCTGGGCAAGATGTATCCATCGCATTTGATTCGATGCCGCATGACTTGGCACACGAACATTCACTTGCGCGAGGGGTTGCCGATCGAGACGTGGCTCTCCGCATGAGGGGTCTCGCTGGACTGCGCGCCAGGATGCCAATACCTGTCGCCGGCACGTCGAAGCCGTTCCTTTTTGCAAGGGGCGGGGAACAGGGCGACGTGGAAACTCCAGACGAGTGGAATTGCATGACCGAGTATTTGTTGGAGCCCATTGTCGAAAGTTGCTGTCCTATCGATGGGGTTCTCCTTCTCGGATGAAGATGGGGACGTGCAAATCGTGCTGAACCACGCGGTCTGGGCAGACAATCGCATCCCATTCGCATCGGATTCGGTCATGATGCAACAACTGATTGACGACATTACGCCAGCACTTGGGAGGTCCACCGACGCGAGTGGCAACGGATACTTGACCATTGAAACCGCCATTTTGAGAATTCACGCGCGGTGGGTCGCTCCGAGGAGGTGGAAACGGCGCAATTACAGCTACCCAGGACGGAGAAGTATTGGAGTACAGTCGGGTTGACAGGATGAGCGTCTGGGGAAATGTGTATTTGTTTTCGGAATTGGTTCTACTTCTGGGGGGTGCGAGCAGGGCAGCCGCAGAGCTGAGGCGCATTACTTCAAGAACAGAGATGCGCTGAGCAATGTTGGGGCGAGCTTTCACAAGAAGTGGATGTTATGGCATGACTATACTGCTACGCTGGCTCGTTGCAACTGTTGCACGCGGCGCCTCTCGTCTGGGCTGCTGCATACGGCTCGGAGGTGCAGAGTAGAAATTTCAAATGGCATATTGCACCGCGTTGCCAGACTGGCTGCGCAAGTTGGCCGACTTCCGGAACTCCGTTTTTCGTGTCTGGGGCTTCCCTGTCCACGAGACCGAGGGCGAGATGGCGGGGGGCCGGCGAAGCGAGTGAAGTTGTACGCTGGGAAAGATACCGCGCCAATGTGTTTGGCCAATAGCAAGGAGGATACCTGGAATGGCGGAGCACTGCGCGCATGGACTCAAGTCGACAACCAGCCGTTGAGTGACATTGTCTATGGGCGTTCTCTTTTGATGTGTGGATACACCCGCCCAGTTTGCATTCGCATTGGCCGACAGTTGCTGGAATTGCTCGGGGCTGGAGTTCTACTGAGACGTAACGCAACATCGTTTATCGAATAGGACGAGCGACGGTGCGACGCGGTCGCGGACCACGCTGCGAATGCTGCGCTGGACTTGGAGAGCGATGTGGAACGCGTTTGCGACGAGGAAGTGCGCCAGGTGACCGCCAACCGCCCGAACTTGCGCACGTGCGTCGACGGTGATTTGCGAGGCAACGGTCAGGCAGCAGGGGGCATGGCTAAATACGGGCATGCGTCTTCATCCGGTAGAACCGTCTTGCAAGTGGCAGGGAAGTGCGCTGGAACGCCGAATTCTGCTTTTCTAGCTGAGACGCTGGCTTCGGCGTGGGCGCTGGGGCCGTCGATGGCAAGGGTCGCGGGTAGAGCGCAGTTGCTATGCAGTGGGCAGGGGCGCGCGTCCAACGCATTTGCCCGAATCGTGAAGAAGGAAAAGAAGGGGGCCCAGCCTGATTTGCCCCTGCGCCCGCACGGGCTTCACCTCGCCCACCCGACGGGAGACCGAGCGCCATCGGGGCCGAGGGGCCCAGGCATGGCGCGACCCGCGCGACCCAGCCTTGAGATCTTGTTTTTCTCTAATGCGGTAAGACCGCCAGTCGTCTGCGGAGCTGTCCTTCGCCGCCTGCCGCGCGCGCGGGGGGCGAGGCCGGGGCGGGCGGGCGCGCGAGGCCCTCGCCGCAAAGCAAGCACATTCCGGGGATGCGCCGCGGCAGCTGCGCGGCATGTGGAGCTTCGGGCGCGGCTTTCAGCACGACCGCTTCCGCGGCCTGCGCGGCCGCCCTCATCAGGGCCGCCTCCGCGACGCCCAAATGCGCCAGCCAAGTTACTCGCCCCGCAAGAAGCCCCTGCTGCAGTTCTGCGCAGAGACCGGCTCCTGCGCCAGGGCCAGTGACTCGCGCGTCGCGGTGGGCATTGCATGTTTCTGCTGGCTGGCCTCGAACTCGGTCTGCAGGCTCGTCTCGGCATATTCCGCCACCGCGACCTCGGGCGCCTGCTGCTCCGCCGCCAGAGAGAGCTCGCTCAGCGCCTCGAGCCGAACAAAGCGCCTCCACGAAGTCTTCGGAGACCTTGGCCCGAGCCAGCACACGCGGCGCAGCGGCTGCCTCAGCGCGCAGTCGCCGCCCCAATCAAGTCCTCGTCGTCCTGGATAGTCTTCTGCTCGGTCAGCTTCTGGCCGGCCTTACACTGCATTTCGGGGGCCAGCTTCGGCAGGGGGCCCCACGGCGGGCAGCGCTGGCTCTGCTCTTAGCATGGAACGCACGCTCCACCGCCCGCCGCTGGCCAAGCCATAACCCCGCGTCCCGCTGCAACGAGCATGCCGCGGCAGCGTGCGTGCTGGCCACCTCATCCAGGGCCTTGCACTTCGCCCGCTCGATGGCCCTCTCATCGGCGGGCGCGATGTCCTGGCCGCTCGGCCCTGCTGGCCTGCGGCCTCCGCGGCCCAATCTGCCTCCAGCGACCTACCAACGCCTGCGGCAGGCCGCGCAGGGCCACAAGCGCACACGCGCACGCTGCCTTCGGTGACCTGCGGGCGCCCTCAGTGGGCGACGCAAAGCCACGGGCCCACATTGGCATCGGTGACCTGCCCGCGCCCTCTGCCGGCCGCCAAGGGTCACTGGCCCTTAATTCTTTGCGCCACACCATGTTCCACTCCTCCATCTCTCCCATCAGGGTATTATCCGACGCATGCGTGCCCATCTGCACTTGGACGTTCGACCTCACTTGGCTCACAGAAGATTGAGAAACGAGCCCCGCCTCGCCCTCCGAGCACTCTTCGTACGTCTCGCTCTTGACCTGGGGCACCGACTCCCGCACTCGAGCGCATTCGCGCCTCAACAGGTTGAGCCGTTCCTGGCCCATGCTGGCCCATGTCGCGGCGCCAAGGCCCCCCGCCGCAGCGGGGAGCCGTGGCAGCTGCTGCCACCCACTGGCGCAGCACCCTCCCAATGAGCAGAAACGGGACCTGTGCAAGCTGGCTCAAGAGGCGCAGCCGCATGTCGGGCACCAGCAGCCGCCATGTGGGAGGCCTCCGCTCCCCATGCCGCCCGCCACTGCGGGCGGCGGCAGCGTCAGGCGCCCGCCCTGGCCGCGCGCTGCTGGCCCGGTTTGGCCCTGGTCACTTAGACGGGGGAACCCCGATACGGCGATTTTGGCCAACATGGCTACGTCGTCGCCGTCGCCGTCGCCCGTCGCCAGCGCCGCCGGTGGGGCGATCCCTTCCTTCCCCTCTGGCTTGCACCCCCCCCCGCGGGGGTGGCCTCTGAGGCAGCGGCCCGTGCAGTCACGTGATGTGTTGGTGTCCTACGTGTTTGGGACTATCGGCCGACACGCCTGACCCCTGGGGCCATTCGTCCCAAAGAGGGACGGATGCTGGGGTTGCAGATTCAGCAGGAGGAGGAGGAGGAGGAGGAGGAGGAGGAGGAGGAGGAGGAGGGCGACAAGAAGCTGGGCGAGGGTCGAGGCGTGAGCTGTCCCACCGTGCTTTGTCAGTGGGTGGCCGAGGGAGACTTCCCAGGACCTCCGTTGACCTCGGGGAGGGTGCAGGGGCGGAGCAGAGAAGAGCACCATGACAGTGTCATCATTGTGCTGCAACGCACCTCCCTGTATAGATGAGCACGTGCACGCACCGGAAGACGAACTCCACGACATGCCACGGCCGACAGTGTCAAGCATGACCTCCCAGAATGGAGCGAGTGTGACAAAGTCAATGCCCGACCTCAGTGTATCATAGGCAGCGCGGCACCCTCTTGGAGGAGGGGGGAGGAGGAGGAGGAGGAGGAGGAGGAGGAGGAGGAGGAGGAGGAGCAGCAGCAGCAGCAGCAGGAGGAGGGGGAGGGGTGAGGAATGCTGAAGAGGTGCCGCAGCTCGGCCAGATGGTCTGGAGCACCCACGGAGGGGCAGCAGCTAACATCGAACAAGAAGAACTCGGCCAGCTAAGCTCGGCCAGACCGAACTCGGCCAGGCTGAACTCTGCCAGGCTGAGCTCGGCCAAGCTGAACTCGGCGAGGCTGAATTCGGCCCGGGCCGAGTTCAGCCTGGCCGAGTCCAGCTGGCCGAGTTCAGCCTGGCGGAGTCTCGCTTGGCCGAGGCGTTCCCTTGTCGGAGGTTCCCCCGAGGGTCGGGACGTGTCCCAAGAGCTCGGCACCCAGACGAGCGAAATAAAAGACGTGGTCGATTGCGCCGACATTCGTGCGTGAGATGCCCGCAGAAGGTCGCGCGTTGGCGCCCTCGTTTCCAATGTAGCGTGCCTTCGCTGGCGGCCCGCGCAGGCCTCCGCGCAAGGTTGCTATGCCATCGCGCGTAAGACCCGTTTCGCTTCGTCGCTCAGACGTATTGTGCACATCGTCTCTCTTGCTGGGCCGCGGCCTCACCGATCAGAGGATACTCCGAATCTTGTAACAGCGCGGGGGGGATCGGTCAAATTGGACAGCACGTTTGGGATCCCCCCCAAGAGCGGCACGACTACACAAAAACAACAGTGCCCCAGAAGCATCGCTTGACAGTTTGGCCTCTGGAGGCCCTCGCTGGGCTTCGGGGCCGTCAAGAGACGATCCGGGATGCAGCCCTGGTCCCGGGGAGCGGGTCCAGACCTCGACACGCGAATCAAAAGTTCCCGACCGCAGCCTTTCTCCTTGGCGTGGTCAAACAGTGCTCCAGGAACCACCTGCTGTTCACGCCGATGCTCGCATCGTCGGCGCGGAGCTCAGGGCCATCCTCCTCTCCGTGCTCCTCTTGGCAAAAGCACGCAGCACGGTAGGCGCAGCAAGAGAAGGCGGCCCGCCAGCAGGTGGCCCACGGAGGTGTCTTCTCCCCCGATGGACCGAGGGGCCCGCATGAGCTCCGGGGCACCGCAGAATCCCCAAAGGGAACGTCCTGCTCCTCCTCCTCCTCCTCCTCCTCCTCCTCCTCCTCCTCCTGCTCTCCTCCTCCTCCTCCTCCTCCTCCTCCTCCTTCTCCTCCTCCTCCTCCTCCTCATCCCATTATTTGCCTGCTCGTCATCCTGGGGACTCCTCATCCCCTTCCCCCCCCCTCTTCTGACCACTCCATCACCGGGACTCCTCCTCTTCCTCCTCCTTCTCCTCCTTCTCCTCCTCCTCCTCTTCTTTCTCCTCTTCCTCCTCCCCTTAGGAATCCTCAAAGGTCAAGGAAGAATGTGCCCCAAGCCTTATGTGAGCAAGGTGACTTGTCGTATGCATCTACTGTACGAAGTGGGGAAGCGGCACCACGGTGATGTGGTGCGGCACAGCTGTAGCGTCGCATGGTTGTTGCGTTGTTTCTTGGGCGAGGGGGGAGCTGCAGCCGATCGAGTTGCGGAATGTCGAGGAGGAGGGAGGAGGGGAGGTGGAGGAGCAGCGGGGAGGAGGAGGGAAAAGAGGAAAAAGCAGAGGACGTGAGGAAGGAGGAATGGAGGGGGAGAAGGAGGAAGGGAAGAGGAGGTGGAGGAGGAGGAAGGAAGGATGGAGGAGTCAGGAGTGGAGGAGGATAAAGAGGAGGAGGAGGAAGAGGCGGAGGAGGAGGAGGAGGAGGAGGACGAGTCCGTAGCCATTTTGGCTCAAGCCGTTGCCCGACTCGGGGGCGCGGACCCCCCGCCCAGCCCTCGACACAGGGGCGGGGGCTCCCGCAGCGGGCGACAGGCCAAGCGCGGCACCAAGCGATGGCCGCCGAGGAGCCCTCGAAGAACTCTGCGGTGTCATGGCGGTGGCGGCGGAGACGCAGCGGGAGCCGCCACAGCCCCAACGCCCCGCCGCCGCCAACCCTCATGCTTACGCCAAGAGCTACGAGGGCACAGGCACCTGCGGGCTTAGGCTTAGCAGCTACTCGGCTGCCGGCAGAACGCAGAGACTGCCCTCACATCGCGGAGACCACCACGCTGGACTGGCCGCTGCGCGCCAGTTGGCACAGGCTGCTCGGAAGAGAGCCTCCAGCAGCCCAGGACGTCGCCGTCGTCATGGACGCCATCCGGGACCCGCACAGCACCTACGAGTACCGCTACAGCCAGGGGTGCCACGGCTTCTGCAACCGCGGCTACCGCGGCGTCCGCAACCAGGGGAGCTACTACCAGCGCGGCTACGAGCACCAGGAGAGCCCCTACGGCGACGAGAAGCGCAACGGCGGTACCAAGGGAGCTTCTGCGGCCACCAGGACAGCTGCGGCGACGCGCAGGCCTCCGACTGGAGCCAGCTCTGCTGCGAAGAGGACAAGGCCCCCTCGTCGCCTCGGCTGGACGCGGATGGAAGAACGCCCAACCTTGCGCAAAGAGCTACAAGCCTTGATTTTTGGCCATGACGCGGCTCACTGGCAAGATCGCGAATCTTCAGAAAGCGGTCCAGTCACATTTGGTGCTACCCGCCTTTCACCGCGACCTTGGCGGCAACGCCGAGCGCGGCAACGACGGCACGAATAATGAGGACGAGCAGAGGAAGGACCCAACCCTGAATCGGCATGTTGCAGAACTCGTCCCGGGGGCATTCGCCCAGTCTTCATACCTGCCAGAGGCGACGCCGACGAGCCGCCTTCGTGACCGAAGGGCGGCGCCAACCTCGGCAAGAAGCAAAAGGACTTGGGCGGCCAGAAGAACCAAGAGGCTTCGCGCGTTGCCGCCGTAACGCTGCCAACTTTGGGCGCGTCAACTGACGGGGGCCCAGGGCGCTCCCAGGGCGCTGGCCCCAAGCGGCCAGAGGACCCACGCGGAGAGGACCCGACGACAGCCAAAATGACAACGAGGGAGGACGGCCTCGACGGGGCCATCGCCCCAGTCGTGGGCGCTGCAGGTTGGCAGGAAGACGGAGGCTGTATCCAGGAGCGGAGCATCAACAGGCGCGCTCGCAAGCGCGCGGTCAAGGAGGCGCGGCAGCCCCTCGCGCATGGAGAGCCGACGTGAGCCGACGTGCAGACGTTCTCGCCGGCCATCACTGGGCGGTCTCCGGACGTCCGCCAAGCGACTCACCACGAGCTCTAGGCGGACGAGATGGACGATTGCGGGAGCTGCCAACGGCAGGAGCACCCCCTGCTCCAGACGACGGCTTCAACCAGAGGCTCATACGATAAGCGCCACGGCCTCATTCTGCAGGGCGATCAGGCCCTCAGCTACGAGCGCGGCGGGCAACTGCGCTCCATGTGCCAAGTTAAGCAGCGCATATCGAGCGCCGTACTCGACGCCCTGCACGGTGCCGCTTGCAACCGCCACTTGCGATATTGTCACAGGTGGCGAGCCGCCACTCGTGCAAACACCAGTCGGGGGCTTGGGAGAACGAGCGCCGCAGGTAGTGAGCCGCCATTTATCTACGGCCAGAGGCTTAGGCCAGTGAGAGCAGCATTTCTTGTCACCAGCCACCCAGCCCCGTATGAGGCCCCTCTCCTGATCACTCAACTTGTCAACCTCACCTGCCTCACTGTGTCTGCCTTCCCTCCTCTGCCTCACCTATCCCCCCAACTGCCAGGCCACTCTGCCGACGGGGAGGGGCGCGGAGTCAACTCTCCTCCTCCTCATCCTCATCCTCCTCCTCCTCCTCCTCCTCCTCCTCCTCCTCCTCCTCCTCCTCCTCCTCCTCCTCCTCCTCCTCTTCCACGGCCTCCTCCGCTCTCTCTTTGCGCCGGGGGCCCGCCGCGTCCGCTCGCGCACGTGAAGACGCCCGCGCTTCGCCTTTGCACTGGAGCCGAAGCGTCGCAGCAGGAGCAGCTGTCTCGAGGCGCACCACCTGCGACGCCAGCCGAGACCCTGCGCGGCGCACCCTGGAGGGCCCGGCTGCCGCGTCCGCCGTGGGGCCCCGCCGCGCGCCGCCACGGAGCGGGGCAGAGGTGCGGCCGGTGCGGCTTGGTGTTGCGCTGCACTTGATGATGGGCAGGGGCGGGCCGCCATCGGTGGAGGCGAGGGAGACCAGGGGGGACGCCCCTTCCCGAGCGTCCCAGCCTCCACGGGGGGAGGTGGCAGTCGAAGCCCGTCCGGAAAAGCAGTCGTCGGGGATCAGAGGCCCGGCCAACCTCTGCCGACGTCGCCATCCCGCCAAGCAGGCGCCAGAGCACCCCTGAGCGCGCCCTGCGCGCAACCAGCCATGGAGGACAAGCAACGAGCGCCCGGGGGAGGAGGGGGACACCCGCGGCACGGAGCACGCCCCCCTGCATGTTCCTTTTCCCGCCCTCCTGTTTTTGTTTGTTTGGTTCAGTCTTCCCTCTTTCCTCATATGGTCTGCTGTCTGTCTTCTTCACCTGCTTCTCGTTCTCACCAGCCGTTCGCCAGGCTCTCAGTTTGATCAACCCCCTCAGGGCCGATTGGCCCTGGGGGGGAGCTAGGTCAGGGCGACATTCTTGCCATCAGTGGGTCGGTGGGTCAGGAGGAGGAGGAGGAGGAGGGACACGGAGGCACCGAACAATGCATCGGGGATCTGGGGTTTGCGGCCAGTCGCGTCGGCGGGAAGACTGCCGCATCACCATCACCAGATTCATCATCACCGTCATCATCATCAGCATCATCATCACCATCAGCACCGTCATCTCAATCGTCATCCTCATCCTCATCTCTATTGGGATATTGATCCTTACTGCGATGGTTCCAAGTATCCTCCTCATAATCCTCGTCATCATCATCATCATCACCATCATCATCATCATCAGCAGCAGCAGCAGCAGCAGCAGTATCATCATCATCATAATCATCAGCATCATCATCATCATCATTATCATCCTCATCATCATCATCATCATCATCATCATCATCATCATCATCATCATCATCATCATCATCATCGTCGTCCTCATCCTCGTCCTCCTCCTCGTCACCCCGTTTCATCGCATTGTTACATAGTCACATCCTTATCCGCTCCCTCAGCCCCCAGGCCCCAGACATCAAGTCGGATGGGCCAGGAGGAGGCGGAGGAGGAGAAAGGGGAGATACCAGCATGGGAGGAACGAGGGGGAGGAGTGACCTGCGGAGGAGTCGCTGTTCTGGCGCGCGAAAGTTTCCAACCCTTTCCACCCCCCCCATCCCCCCCCTTCCACTCCTTCCATCCTCCTGCTTCCCCTCATCTTCTTGTTCCATCCTCCCGCTCCTCCTCCTCCTCCTCCTCCGTAGCCATTGTGGCGCAAGACGGGTTTCTGTTTTGTTTTTCTCTCTAGCCTGCTCTGCCTTCGGTCTTGCTCATATTATCGTTTGGCCGCATTCGATTGTGCAGTTGGTTGTTTATTTCGCTCTCTCATCTGATGGATGCTGCGTGTGGACAAGTGTCTTCTCTGGCAAGTCGCGTGCTGCGCTTGATTTCTACGGCTGCGGGGCAACATTATTCAGGTCTCAACCAGGCGGTGTACTGTAACCGAAAGGGGCTCCCCACGGCGTTGAGACGCCGATTGCAACATATCGCCATAACTCATCAATATCTTCGGCATCACACCGAGGTGTGGGAATCGCAATTTCTTTCAGAATTGGAATCGGTACTCAAATATTCTTTTCCAGAGTTTGATGGGGTTGTCCCTATTTGTGTTCCGCGTTTTGATCAGCCCCGATCGTCACGATCTGTCTTGCAAAAGGAGGCCTCAGTGTTTGCTATGCCTTCGCCACCAGTTGTGGCTCCAGCTCCTGGGCCTGTTATTTCGGTCCAAGGGCTTTTGCAGGAGGCACAAACCGTGTACGACGGGCAGCTGGCAGCCTACAGTTCTCTGGTGGAGGACATGAACTCCAAAGGCACCTTGGAGAGAGTGGGTGAGTCATCTCCGTCTTCTGGGACTCCTTCGGGTTCTAGGTCATCCGCAGCTTCCGCGGTTCCATCCTCTTCGGAAGATGCATGTGCTTTCGGCGAGGAGGCACTCGAGTCGGCCAAAGCGTACACGGATGCCCAGATCCTGCAGGTGGGCCAGCGTGCACGGGATTATGTACACCAAGCTATTCGCGAGATGTTGAATGATTTAGCCGGCACAGTTGGGAAAGTGGTTTCTGCCCGATTGCCGGCTTTGTTGAACGAGGGTGTGGGGCAATCAATTGCGTCTACTATATCTGCTCAGCTACCAGAGCTGGTGGCCAGAAGCTTTGATTCCCAGATTGATGGCATCACAGAGTTCATCGCAAACAAGTTCTCGTTATCGGACGGGCGTATTGAGGAGTTGAAGGATAGGGTCTCGAGATTTGAGTCTGCGGCACAACTTTCACGGGCTCCTTCCTCTCCGACTGCTCGCGGCCGCTCTCCTAGCGTCGCGGGAACGCCCCGCCCTGGTGCGTCAGAGTTTGCACCGCCGCTGCCGCCGCCTGCCTATCCTCAATCCCGGTTGTGCCGCTACGGGCAAGGGTGTTTCAGGCGAAATTGCGTTTTCATTCACCCTGATGGCCGCACTCTCCCGCCCTCTGCAGAGCGGGAGGCCCTAGGGCGCGCGGGCAGCACCACAGCTGGCTCGGACGGTCCCCCGAGGATCTCGCCGACGGCTCGCCCGATTGATTACGGCAGGTTCGACAACCTAGCGGCGATGGAAGAGCTGGAGGAGGAGATTCAGGGGCATCTGATGGCCGCTGCCTTTCAGGGCCTTGTCCTGCCGATCCCTGAACCTGACATCGATTGAGTTGGCAACAGTGGATATTATCTGCACTGTCTTGCTCTTCCTGTCCCTCGGCTACTCGCTCTACTCTCTTTTCCTCTCCCTGGACTTCTTGGCGGTTGAGGCTATTATGTAAGGGGCTGCCGCCTTCGCTCATTCCTCGGTGCCGAGGTGCGGATTCGCCGTGTTTGTTATGTCACAGAGACTCCTGGGGAACGCTGCGCCTCCTCCTCCTCCTCCTCCTCCTCCTCCTCCTCCTCCTCCTCCTCCTCCTCCTAGTCCCCCTCCTCCTCCTCCTCCTCCTCCTCCTCCTCCTCCTCTTCCTCCTCCTCCTCCTCCTCCTCCTCCTCCTCCTCCTCCTCCTCCTCCTCCTCCTCCTCCTCCTCCTCTTCCTTCTCCTACGCCACATACTCCTTCCTGTTCTCCTCCTCCTTCTCTTCCGCCTCCTCCTTATCCTCCTCCTCCTCTTCCTCAGCCTCATCCTCATCCCATTATTTTCCTCTTCGTCATCCCCGGGGCTCCTCATCCCCTTCCCCCCCTTTTTCTGCGCAGTCCATCGCCGTCCCCTGATTTGTCAGGCCTTCGCATGGGGGCTTGTGCCAGGAGAAAGCTGTTTGTCGTCGGTTCCGCCAGTGTTTTTTTCTTGCGTTCGGCGAACATGAGCGACGAGGCTGTTGCGTGTCGGTCGTGCAGCTAAAATGCGGTATACACCGGCTAGAACATCAAGTACACCTCAGGACCTGGCACCGGCAGCTCGCGTCGACGAGAAACAAGAAATGCACGACATTCGGGAGCAGCAGAAGCTGAAACCTAGGTTTTTTGAGCTTCAGAGAGAAATCGGGAGTAGCAGAGGTTCAAGAGTATGCTGTACCGCCTGGGTGTGGCATCGTCACCGTCCTCCTCCTCCTCCTCCTCCTCCTCCTCCTCCTCCTCCTCCTCCTCCTCCTCCCCCCTCCTCCTGCAAACTCTCCTCCTCCTCCTCTTCCTGCCCCTCCCCCTCCGTTTCCTCCTCTCCTTCCTCTCCTCCTCCTCCTCCTCCTCCTCCTCCTCCTCCTCCTCCTCCTCCTCCTCCTCCTCCTCCTCCCTCCCTCCTCCCTCCTCTCCCTCCCTCCCTCCCTCCCTCCCTCCCTCCCTCCCTCCCTCCCTCCCTCCCTCCCTCCCTCCCTCCCCTCCCTCCCTCCTCCCTCCCCTCCTGCCACCGTGACCTCGCCCAGGCCCTGGCTGCCCACGTGAGGCCGCTGCCATACCTGTCCCTCGGCCCCATGTCGTGCGTCGGCCACGGCGACGGCCTGCGATTGTCCCTCCCCTGGGCCCTGTTCGGCGGGCCAACAGCACTGGCCCGCCTTCGATGCCGTCACCCCCGGCTCAGCCATGTCGCTGATGCGCGGTCCTGGGCAGCCCGGCAGCAGTGTATCCTCTGTGCTGTGGCTGTCCACAGCCCCACCCTCCGCGTGCTTTTTTCCTGTCCCGACACGAGTTCGCAGAGGCGAAGTTTCTGGCAGGCGCGGAACGTATCCCCCCTGAGCCGCGGGAAGCGTACGCGCGGGCTCTCCTGAGTGTGTGTCGGGGGGGGGCGCCGGCTACGCAGAGGCAAGTCTCCTGGGAGCCCACATCGAGAATTGTGAGACCGAGTTCTGGGCCACTCGACCGAGCTGAGACAGGATAGTAATTCCTACCCCTTCTGGGTGGCCCACTCCCCCTCCGTCCTCCAAAGGTCTCGCAGCTGCGCGCTGCGTTGACATGAGGCGGCTGGGGGTCGGGCGGGGGTCCCTGTCGAGGTGGGTTCCCGCTGGGTCCCTCTCCCAGGCCTTCCCACTCCTCGCGCTCGTCCTTGGGTGGAATCGGGCGCCCGTCTCCGGAGCGCAGGGTGGCGAGTCTTCGTGTCCCCGCGCCCCAGGTGGCACCCACTCCTCCCTGGAGGGTGCTGCGGAGGCCGCCGTCGGAAGCCAGCTAGGCTCCGTGGCCCCTCTGCTGTCGAGGCCTGCCCGAGGCCTCACCATGCCTGCCCACCTGGGGGCGTTTCCATCCATCCATCCATCCATCCTCCCTCCGTTCCTCCCTCCTCCTTCCGCCATCCTCCTCCTCCTCCTCCTCCTCCTCCTCCTCCTCCTCCTCCTCCTCCTCCTCCTCCTCCGTTTCCTCTTCTTCGCCTTCCTCGTCTTCTTCCTCCTCCTCCTTCTCCTCCTCCTTTTCCTTCTCCTCCTCCTTCTCCTCCTCGTCCTCTTCCTTCGTCACCTCCTCCTCCTCCTCCTCCTCCTCATCCTCCTCCTCCTCCTCCTCCTCCTCCTCCTCCTCCTCCTCCTCCTCCTCCTCCTCCTCCTCCTCCTCCTCCTCCTCCTCTCCGCCTCTCCCTTGGCTCGCCCACGTTTTCTCTCTCCTTCCCCTCCTAATCCTCCTCCTTCTCCTCCTCCGCCTCCTCATCATCAGCATCATCAGCATCATCATCATCATCATCTTCATCAGCATCATCATCATCATCATCATCTTCATCATCATCATCATCATCATCATCATCATCATCATCATTAACATAATCATCATCCTCATCATCATCATCATCATCATCATCATCTTCTTCTTCTTCCTTGGTTCGCCCATGTTTTTCCATTCCCCCTCCTCCTGCTCCTCCTCCTCTTCCTCATCCTTCTCCTCCTCCACCTCCTCCTCTTCTCCTCTTCTCCTCCTCCTCCTCCTCCTCCTCCTCCTCCTCCTCCTCCTCCTCCTCCCCATCCTCCTCTTCCAAACGCTTCGGGCAGCTTGCGGAGAAGCCCCCAAGCCGCGCAAACGCCCCCCGCCTCAGAACCCTAAGGCCCTGGGCACGGTCAACCAGCGCTCCATCTGCCAGCCGGCGCGCTCCGCCCGCCGTGCGGACCGCCGCCGCCTCCGCCGCCGTCGACTGTCAGCCGCTCGCCCGCGGCCGCTCACCGTCGGTCAGCGTTGCCATCGTTGCGGGCCGACGCCATCGTTTTTTTTGGGGGGGTCGCAGAGAGGGCGCGGGGAGAGTCGGGGCGACGGAAGTGTCGGGTACAGTGAAAGCCTTGAGTAAGGAACACTTACTTTTCAAAAGGGGCTCGGTCGTTCCTACGAGATGTGTTGCATGGTTTCCGCCCCGCCGCCAGGCCCATTCTTCGATACATGGGCGCCAGGAGGTGCGTGGAAAACCAGCTACGTGACTTGATGCTCTACCCTGCCCTTTGTTGTCCTGCCCTGTCGTCCCCCCCGAGAGAAGCGACCCGAGGATGCGCGGGGGGTGGGACGGAACGAGAAGGCTGGCCAGGAGGTTGGCCAGGAGGCGGAGCAGGAGGAGAGAGTGGTCGACCACGGGGACAGCGAGAGGGCGCAAGAAAAAAAGGTTGTCGGGGAGGCCGACCAGGATGTGGACGAGGAGGAGGAGGAGGAGGAGGAGGAGGAAGGGGAGGATGTGAAGGAGAAGGAAGAGGAGGCGGAGGATAAGCGGGAAGGGGAGGAAGGAGGAGGAGGGAGAAGGAGAAGAGAGAGAGAGAGAGAAGAAGAGGGAGCAGGAGAGGCGGGAAAGGTCCACAGCTGCGGGAGGGGAGGTCCACAGCTGTGCACGTTGGGGTGGGGTCGGCGGACGTGGCGGGCCAAGACGTCGTTGCGTCCCAGCAGAACCTTGCCTGTACCACGGATTGGAGAAGGCCGCTTGCCCGGCTGCGGGTGCGAGGATGGTGAACACGCGAAGCAGAGCAGCCTTGACATTGCGGATCGACTTCGTGGAGGCATCCAGGATAGATAACCCATCAGGGATGTTTTCGGAGGTCCAGCCTTATGAGCGCCATTCACGATCTTTATTTACCGAGTCCTTTTTACACATAGCACATAGTCACCTTTAGTTGCAGACAAGAGTAAGGGGGTGCGGTTGGGTCCTGGCGCGGGCGGGTGTGTTGGCCGTGGGCCGCGGCGTGGCTGGGTCGCGGGTGGGTCGGGGCGCGACGACGGCAAGAACAACAGCAGCGACAATCCGTACCGCGGAGCCCCACTGCAGCCACGCACCGAGGGACCGTGCAAGGGTTCAGGGGTCGAATCCCCCCCTGCGAAACCCGCAGGACTCCTCAGTGAGCATTCCTTCCGTGGGAGACGCCTGCATATTGCGTCCTTGGAGGGCATGCGTCCCCGAAGCCCCGTGCAAGACCGCCCGGCCCTCTTCACCCTGATGAACTCACCAGGCTGCCAGAGTCGGAGTCGTCGCCCGCGGAGGCCGCCCGGCGCCCGCGGAGCAGCAGGCGCGGAGGGCTGCGCGCTCGGAGGGGGCAGGGGCCGTGCTCGAGGCAGCGGCGGCGGCGCGGATGCGGGTCGCCCGAATGCCGAGGCCAGGCTCGCGCGCCCGGCGGGAGGAAGGGGAGGAGGCGGCTGCCAGCGCGTTGGCGCGCGGCTGGGGGCCCGAGCTGAGCGTGGCCGCTTCACCGCGCCACTGCTCGGCAGCTTCGCTCCGCCCTGGGGCGCGACACCACCCAGGCGGCGGCCGCCGCGCTGGCGGCCGACCTGGCCGGCTAGCCGGTGGGGCAGCGCGGGCAGAGCGCGGTCGCAGCGTGGCCGCGGTCGGCTACAGGGTCGCTTGGGTGCTGCAGGTGGTCAGAGGGGGCGACAGCGTGCTTCATCTTGCTTTTCGTTCATGCCCCCAGGGGGAGGGGGGGATGAGGCGGACGGGCCCCAGTTCCAGGGTTGCTTTCGCCCCTTCTGGACCTTTGGGTCCCACCACCCCGAGTTGGTGCGCCTGCGGCTTGGAGGGTCGTCCACGGATGAGGGGCGATCGCTCTTACTTTGTTCTTTCGTTTTTTCCGCGCCCACATAATCTTCATCTGCCTGGATGGGCTGCGAACGCACCAGCCTTGACTTGCGAAGTCGCGAGCGATGAGGCAACACTTCGCCGCGTCGCCGCTCTGTGGCTCCGCTTCGCGGGTTTTTGGATTGCACAGCGCACGACTGACCAACAAATGGGCATTGATGGTCGCAGCTCTTTATGTAGTGCACGAGCTGACTTACGGTAGCCTTGCTGGGCTCCCTACAAGATGCACGCCCCTTTTCCCATCTTTCCCCCACCTACCTCCTCCCTCCTCCCCCAGGACTCCCCGATCCGCCTAGAACGCCCCAAGAGTTCATCGGACCGCTTCAATTCGCTCCAAAGTTCTCAAACACTTCTCCTTCAGGCGTCATGGGAAGGGGGAGGATTGTATGAGCGTTCCTTCGCAGGTTCGCCCAATCGTGGCCAAGAAGAAGGCGAACTTCTACGAGAGCAGGGTACAGAGCATCAACAGAGAGGAAAAGCTCGTGGAGCGAGGGCCTTGGATGGATCCTTCTGCTCCCGAGGAAGAAGGAGAAGGAGGAGCAGAAGGAGGAGGAGGAGAAACATCAAAAGGTCAGAACGTCTTGACGCTTCGCACATCCGCACCAGCCCATCCAACGATGCCCAGGCAAGTTGCATTGACCAGAGAGGCGCGGGATCGCGCAGTGCAGCAAAAAAGGAGGACAGCTGTCAAACCGAAGATCAGGATCTACTTGATCAGGCCCAGGACTCAACCATACATGCCTTCGCGGATCTTTCGGTATGGGAGTTTCTTGGCAGCTTACTTGGGCTATCTTGGGGCCATTTGGGGCCGTTTTTGAAGCCGTGGGGACCCTGGTGGGGCCCTTTCGGATGCACGACGCAGAGGATTCGAAAGGATCTGAGCCCATTCTATTCAGTGCCTACCCCACGGGGGCGGAAACGCAAGCTGCACAAATCGCGAACGCGAGAAAAGTGCTGCTTCGGGTCTACGGTGGCAATTGTTTTTCTTCCCAGAATATTAGCTATTCCAGAGTCGATCTGTCGCTCCTCCTTGCAAGGCAGAGCCCCGCCGACCGATCTTGGCACGCCCGGGCGAGCTTGGTTGTCGGGTGGCGGGAGCCGTTTGGGGGCGGGGCTGAGGGCCGGCAATCTGGGGACCCGAACCTATGCCGTGCCGCCTCAGGGGCTCCGACGATCGAGATAAGCGGCTCCAGTGAGCGAGGTGAGTGGGTCTCCTCCTGGTACATCCCCCCTGCCTTTCGTGCAACTCTCCTCCTCCGTTTTCCTCCTCCCCTCCCCCTTCTCAGATACACCGCTTGACAGAGCACCCGCGACGACATACTCGAAGAGCTGCCGATCTGCAGTACCGAAGCGAGACCCGCACTGTCGCAAAGGAAAGCACGACGATCGTATGTAGCCAGTTTCGGCGTGCAGGGTTTTTTTTCGTGCTCCAGGGTCAGGGGAGATTTCCGATGGCGTCCGATACCCTCGAAGGTTTTCAAACGTTTTTGACTGCGTTTGGGAGGTTGCGAACATGAGCGCCATCCAGCTGCGCCTCGTGGAAAGCTCTCAGGGGACACCAGAATCGGCCCTCTCTGGCCGACCCTTCCTTGCAACACCACCCGGGGGCCTCCCCCACCATCCACTGGTGAAAAATCCCCACTGGCGTGTGTGCAGGGTGGCGGGCCCGTGGGCCTCTTTAGGAAGTGTGCGTGTCAGGAAGTCCGTTTCCCGGCGCCAGTTGTCGGGCAGGTTCTGGTCGCCATGGCCGTCGGCCGCGGGGCCGCGTGCCGTGCCGTGTTACGGCGAGCACGGCGCGCGCTCCGAGCGGAGGCGGCCAGGTGGCAGCACGACCGTGCGGCGCTCAAGTCCACGACGAGCTCATGCCAGAGGGGGTGCACTCCCGCACTGCGTGCAGGCGCGCACGGCGCGGCAGGCAGCGCCACGTGTCAGAATTCTCGTGAAGGTGACTTGGTAACCGTACGGTAGGTTCGCGCCGTGCCGACCGGCGGCGACCAGCCGCCGGCGTTCAACATGGAGCGCCGCTGGCATCCCAGAATCGGTCGATGTGGAACGATTGGACGTTTCGGCAACGGCCGATCGTTCACGGTTGATCGATCCCCGCGGTTGATCGATCCCCCGGTGCTCTGGAACCCTTGACTCAAGCCGCAGCGGCCCCGGGGCGCCGCCAATTGCCCTCGACCTCGGGGCTGGGCATGCTGTGCCAGCTGGCCGCGCGCGCACCCGCGCGGGCGCGGGCCGCGGCGGCGGCGGTGGCGACCGCCCCGCCGCCCGCAGTGGACGCGGCCGCCTACCCGCTGCACGACCCGCCGCGCTGCCGGCCGCTGCTAGATCGGGGAGACGTAGGGCTCGAGTTTGTAGATGGAGCTCGGGCCTGAGGCCGCTCTTGGACGGCCCCTGCGCGAAGGCTGACGGCCCTGGGTCACGGCACAGACGGTATCCGTATCCGCGCCCTCCCGTTTTGGATTCCGGGGCGCGATCTCGCGGATACGCGGTCGCACGAATGTTTTCAGCGCGGGACATCCGCGGAAAAGCGCCCCGTATCCGAGGGGACGCGGCTCAGGTACCTTCCTTGGCCAGCGAGGCCGCGCCTACGGATTTGGCTTCGCCCATGACAGGGCTCGTCAGCCGTTCGGACGGCCCCAGCCCAGCGAGCGAACGAAGCAGCCGTCGCCGGGAATGGAGCGACGAGATCTACCCAAGGATCCGAGGCTCCGAAAACATTAGAGCGGACGGATCTTTGTCATTTTCGTTCTCCGGGGGCCCTCGACGGGCCCCGCGGGACCGCCCAAACACGACTCAGGACGAAAAACCCGCCCCAGGGAAGTTGTCCAGACCTCTGGGGGTCCACGCATTGAAAAAGATGGAGCGCTGGATGCTTGGGTATGCAATGCCCCCTGCATCCTTGGCCAGGCCCATCCAGGGCCCAGGAGCGGTGCACACGCCCTCCTGGCATGGCTGGGGATGCATGTGCACAGGCCCTCGGCCCCCAGAGGATCAGAAGAGAACCGCCGCCACCGAGATCCCATGGGGCCGACCCCCTGGGGGCGCACCGACCCCAGAGCGGCGGCACGTCCTCCAGCGTCGCCCAGCAGCCGGTGCCGCTCGGGCTGGCCTCCGGCCGGGGGTCGGCTTCCCCGCAGGAGTCGGCCCCAGGAGTTCTCGGTGGCGGTGGCCTGGAGACCCAGACAGCCAACGATCTGAGTTTTTCCACGCGCGGCCCCAGAGCGCAGGACCCTTTCCCCAGGGCCAGCGTCCTGCCACGGAGCCATGTTTGGGGGCCCCGGGGCCCGGAAGTGGGCTCCAGACGCCGACCGATCAAGGAAAAACGCTGGGACTGGAACATTAATTTCGTAGGAGATCTGGGACCTTGAGATCTGGCGGCGCGAAGCACTTCAAACATCGTAACAATTCACGGCCTCATCCCCAGTTCCCATCTCCCTGCGCCATTTCTCGATCCCGGTCGACCTGTGATGGCCACACGGCCCAACTATTGCCAAGAAAACGCCCGCATTGAAAAGTTTAGACGCCAGGATCTCAGGGAAACGGTCGTGGTCGTCGTCGTCGACGTCTGTCCTCTCCGTCGTCGTCCTCCCCGTCGTAGTCGTCGTCGTCGTCGTCGTCGTCGTCGTCGTCGTCGTCGTCGTCGTCGTCGTCGTCGTCGTCGTCGTCGTCGTCGTCTTCGTCTTCGTCGACGTCTGTCCTCCCCGCCGACATCTGTCCTGCCCGACCACGAGTCTCACGTCTCCTTGGCGGGACCAGTGCCGCGCGGAGGTTGCGCGGCACGGCTACTGCCACCTGCCGAACTTCCTGCGCCCAGAGGCCGTGGTGGGGCTCGTGGGCGAGTGCCGGCGGCTGGAGGCGGACGGGCGCGGCTTCCGCTCCCACGAGGCACACAACGTCTTTCTCGAGGATGCCGGCGCCGACGGTGCTCGGAGGAGGAACAGTGGCCGATGCCACCACCGCTGCCTCCCTTCTGCCGTCCTGGGCCTCCCGTGAGGCCTTCGTGGCCACCACTGGATTTGTTTCCGAATTCTGGTCAGAGCGCACCCTTGGAGAGGTCCGGGGAGTAGCAGTATCAGCAGGTCTAAGTTTCCCCAGGCGTGGGGCTCCGCTCGAAGGAGTTCGCGTCCTCGAAGGTGTTGATGGCGATGGACGACATGGAGCCGCGCTCGGCGCTGCTGGCTATCTACCGCTGGCCGGCGCTGCGGCGTTTCCTGCAGGATGCGTTTGGGCTCCCGCGGCTCTTCCGCTCCGCAGACCCCCTCGGCGGCGCGTACTACAACATCTTTGACGGCGCGTTCGGCGACACGCTTGGGTGGCACTTCGACCGCTCCAGCTTCTCCACGAGCCTCATTCTGCAGACGACGCCTGGGGCCGGTGGCGACTTCCAGTACGCCCCCGACAGCAGGCAAGCGATCTGCGAGATGGGCAGCTGGGAGGATCAGAGCGTGAATTACCTCCCCCGCTTTCGCTTCCAAGCAAAACCAAGCCATACCACGCGCCTCCTCGTCAAGCGGCCTGACCAGTACAGGCTGCAATGTGGCATCGCTTGGTATCTCTTGGAAGCGAGGGTGGTCAAAAGCGAGGTAGGTTTGTTTCCCCCCTAGAGGAGGTGGAGCAGCACCTCGACGGCAGGGTGCTGACGCCGCCGCTGCACCCAGGGTCGCTGTACCTCTTCGCGGGCAACAGGAGCCTCCACCGCGTGTCGCCCGTTGCCCACGGCAAGCGCATCAACGCCATCTTCACCTTCGTGGAGGAGGATCGGCGGCGCGCCGGAGGGGGCAAGCGAGAGAGGGCAGGCCTTTTCAGCAGGCCGCGGGGCTTCTCAGAGGCCCTTTTTGGCCTTCTGGGAGGCCGCCTGCGGCCTCGGAGAAGGCCCAGCCTCCTGAGAAGACCCGCCCCCTCGCTCAGAAAGCACCTCGGAAGGCCGGAGGCCTTCCGTGCCTCCTGAGAGGGCCCTCCTCCTGAGAGGGCCCTCCTCCTCCTCCTCCTCTTCCTCCTCCTCCTCCTCCTCCTCCTCCTCCTCCTCCTCCACTCAAGACTTGTGGCCCGAACCCGCGCGGCCTGCCGCGCGCTCGGGCCGCCTGCGATACACGAGTCGTCGTTGGGCAGCGGGACGGCCCGCCGCCACCACGGCCCATGGCTTCAGGGGGAGCTTCTGAGGAGGCTGCAGAAGCCATCGCAGGCCGTCGTGCACACCGATCCTGCGTATCACAGGTCGGCTCGTGTGGCGTTCTCTGTCCGCTTGGCGACCTTCTGATTCGCACAGCGGTCGAGGCCAAGTCAGGTGAAACTCTGTGGTCATGCTCCCGCCGATTCTTCCTCCTCAAACGAAAACCATCGCAGGCGGACTACATCTGCGAAGAGCCCATGTACGTGGAGAGGCGGCCGAGGCTGCAGCCAACACGCTGACTGGCGAGACCGAGCCTCACGGAGCGACAACTACGACCGGAGGCAGCCGAGCCATGGTCGCTAGCGGCAAAGCAGCCAGAGCAGGGACAACACGAATTTCGTCTGCCCAGAGTGCCCCGCTGGCAGCCGTTGGGTGCACGCCAAATGTGCGGGCACACCAGGATGGGAAGCATGCGAGAAGTGCGCTCACGCCTGGCCACAGGACGTGAAGGTCAGCAACAACGCCGAACAGAAGGCGTTGCAGACCCTGGCGCTCAATGCTGACAGCCTGCTGGCGCTCCAGGCTTTGGTCACAGTGGCCAAAAACCCGGCCGACAAGACAGCAGCTGAAGCGGCGGTGTGCCTGGCCAAGATACCCGCCCTGGCGAGTGCCAAACCAGCACCGCCACCCCCCGAGCCTCAGCTCGGAACCAGGCTCGAGGCGGCAGCCTTGCGGCACGGGCAGGCCCATCAGCCGCAGGAGAACATCGCCAAGCAGCCCATTCAGGAGGAGCAAAGGAAAAAGGAGATACTCAAGAAGCTGGACGAGGCGATCGACGACGTGCTGGGACCAAGCAAGAGCTGGGCCGACTACAGCAATAACTACGACAATAAGGAACATAACCAGGGCAAGATGAAGCTAAGGACGGACCACAGGCGCACAGCGAGAACACGTGGGAGGACTTACCACAGCTGCCTGCGGAGGGCCCTGAACTTCAGGGTGAGGTCAAGAAGGCCAAGTGCACGCAGGCAGCGGGAGTGGCGGCGCAGGCGGAGAGCATGCTCGGGGCGCGCAAGAAACAGGGGAGCTCGGTCAAAGATGCGGCGGCCACGCCGCGGGGGTTACATGTCAAGGCGCAGAGCCACAAGCAGCGACTGGGAGACGAAGAAGGACGAAACGCCCTGCCAGCAGACACGCAGGCCGCCGCAGGCGGCGCCAAGACCGCAGTGGACACCATCCCGAAGGACAGGAGTTCCAGGGACTGCGACTTCGCCAGCCCGACGAGATGGCCAAGTATATCGACAGGACGGCAGCTATCAAGGCCCGCCAAAGGCGGCCAGCGCGCAGCTGACTGTTGCGCCTGGGGACGTGGGTGCCATTGTTGACGGCGGCGCTGCAGCCTCAGCAGGCAATGGGCCAGCACTAGGAGTGGGCGGGCAGCCGCAGCCTTCCCAGCGACCTCGACAGAAAAACCAGGTTCGAGGATGAGGCCGAGCGCCAGTGGTGAACCAGCGGCGGCAACGCTGGAGCGCGGCCAAAGCTAGGATGTGCACCCAGCCCACGGACCAGCTCTGCGGAAACGCGCCCGAATTCCAAGCGACCAAGGGGCTCTGGGAGCCTCGCTGGACCACGAGAAGGCGCGGGCCCCACCGCCAGCTGGCACCCTGCAGAGGCCGCACATCGGGCCAGAGGAACGGCAGCCGAGACAGAGGCCGCACCGCCAAGGGACGCTTCCTAGACCTGCTTGGCGGGGCGCGACCTGGGGCGCCCACCCCGAGCGCGACGCCAAGGGACGCGTCGTGGATCGAGCACTGTCTGAAGGGGTTCAGAGGGATGTCCTTCCCCCGCCAGCGCGCAGCACAATGGGCTAGGATGACCACCTCGCTGACCTCAGCGAGGAGGTCGAGGGAGCGACAGGCGGTGCACTTCCTCCTCGGACTAGCTCGGTGGGGTCGCGCCTCAATCCACAGCGACCCCGGGGCGCTGGGGCCTCGCAGGCCAACTGGGCGGGGGGGCTTCCACCGCCTTGAACTTCACTGTGCTACAGGGGCCAGTGAAAACCGAGAGGATGAGGAGGGCGCCCACAATTGGCAGCAGGCAACTGCTGGCAAGGCGCAGGGCGCCCGAGGCTTGATCCGGCAACTGTGGCCAGTGCAGCGAGGCAGCCATGGCGCTGGTCGAACGGCCAGCTGTGACCTAGTAGGCTTGGCCGAGCACCGCCCCAGGCAGCCCCGGTGCGACGCCGAGGAGCAGGGCCCCGGAAGATATGGATCGGGATCTTCGCGCGCGCGGACGTCGGTCACGCGCGCAGCTGGCAGACGGCCAGCGCAAGAAGGACAAGGACGAGCCAACAAAGGCACCCACGGGGGCGCGAAATGACTGAGACGCAAGGAGTTGAACTCGTTCACGCACCTGCCCGAGAAGACAAACAGGGGGCACTCCGCGACCAGCTGGACGACGCGACCATCGTCCTGTTAAGGCTCAAGCGCGGGTCTTTCGCGTTCACCAGCTGCTGCCTCGACTGCAGCATCGGCCTCGGACGAGCCATTGCCGCCAAGCTGGGCGGCCTGGCGCGAGCCGCAACATCCTTCGGGCATCCGTGGATCGCGCTCGGCGACCTCATCTACGCGCCAGAAGACATGGGGCCATCTAGATGGCCGCAGGCGATCGATGCGCGGACATGGCCCCCATGGGCACAAGTCCCCCGCGCACCAGTCCCCAGGGCGCGCCTTCGATTTCATGGTGTACTCAGAGCCGGCCACGCACATCGAAAAGCTGGAGGCGGTCAGACAATCGCCGCAGGGGCCGCAGTTTGGACAAATATTTAGTTGTTGCGGCGAGTCCAGGAACAGCACTGGCGCGAGTGCTACGGTTACCAGTGGGACTGGACATCACAAAAGGACGCCGTCCACATCGAGGAGGGGGCAAAGCGGGCCCAGGGGGCCATCCACAACGCGCAACATGCATCACGGAAGGCGCGGAGGAAAACGAGCACGCTACGATGGAATATTTGCTCAGCCACGCCGACGCCAAGCCGGCGCCGGGAAGGCGCGCGCAGGGAGAATGGCAGAATGCAGGTCCAGCAGTTCAAGACAAACATCAAGGATCCACCCACATTGATCAGAAGATCAGCTTCGTTCCACGCAAGCCCACGCGATGCCAGACTGCTTCGAGACGTCTACGGCTCGTGGCCCGCGGCGGCAGGGCAGGCGCTGACTGGCCCGCGCGACGCGCTGCCCCGAGGAAGTGCGCGAAGAGGACTTCCGATCAGCTGCAACTGGGCGACGGCCACGCGGCCGATCAAAATGCGGAGAGGCCGCCATCTGGGAGCCAGGCGACGCAGAAGTCAACGCGTGGAGAACGCTAGCAGGGAGTTTTTCCGAGCTGACCAAGCACGCGCTCAAAGGAAACATCGCGGAAAGCCAGAGAACCACATCGGCAGCGGCATCATTGGCACCAGCCACCGGGCACGGGAAGCCCAGCGGCCCCACGACGTCGGCACCTGCGAGGGCAGCAGAGCACCATGGTGCGCCGAGGCCCTAGCCAGTTGCCATGACACGCCAGGCATTGGCGACGGCAGTGACCAGTGGGCGACAACCTCAGAAGCAGCGCAACATTGAGCGGAGTCACGCGCCCCGCGAGCTCGACAGGAAACAAGATCAGCAATCATATTCTGGGCGGAGCAAGCATTCCAAGCATCAATGGTTTAAGGGCACGGGCACCCCAGCATGCCAGAGAAGACTGACCTCGATGAAGTCACCATTGGCCCCACTTCAGGCAAGGCAGATGACGACTTGCAAGAAGGCGTCAACTTGCGAACCGTCGCGCTCGGGAGACTCTTGCAAAATGACGCAGGCTCCGCCGGACTGATGCACACGCTGACAAAGCTCAGACACAGTGCACTCGAGGCCAACCAAGGGCGCGAGAAGTACGAGATGACAGGCCCCGACAAAGTCAACCGACAGTTCAAGAAGAACACGGGAAAACATATGGCACAGACCAATGGCGACCCCGCGAGCTCCAGGCCCTGGCGGATCCAGCGGGGCAGGAGCTGGCGGACATCATTAGCGCGAGCAGCAGCTGGCCTGGCCGCGCCAGTTGCATTACTTTTCGCTCCAGCTCCCTATGGAGAGTGATAGCGCTGTGGCAGGGGAGGAGCGGCTCCTCGGCCCACTCACCACGCTGGCGCGGGCATGGGGCCGCCTCGCCAAACGTGGAGTCGGCCAAGTGTGCGAACGGCGAGCGGGATTCTGCGATGGAGCAGCGGCGGGCAACAGAGCCCTACAACATTTCACAGTGGAGTCGTGATTGGATGTGGTAGCAGTCCTAGGACAGGTGGAGGAGGCGCGGGCCAGTCTGTTCTTAGACGTTGAAGATCCAAGACAACACCGACTGGGCCGAGCTCATCTTCAAAGCGCAGAAGCTGGAGTACCCCGCGACCGAGCTGTACTTGCGCGGGCCGGCGCGCGTGGCGCCGCGCATCGCCGGGGCAGCAGGGGCCCACGGCCTCCCGATCGCACCGTGCAGCGGTATCGTGGCGGGCTGTAGCCACGCGAGAAACTCTGCGCGCATGACACTCTAGGACATATCGGAGTGGGCACACTAGATGGCGCCCAAAGCGTGGCCGAGGCAATGCCAGGACGACA